ACAGATTTTGTAGAATGTCAGCTTGAGTAAAAATGTTCACTATTGTAATGTAGGGAAGCGTCTCAGGATGTTGTTCACGATGCCACCCAATCGGGCTTCGTCATAATATCTCAAGGTGCATGCAACACCATGTCGGGATGTAATTGGTTCTGATACGTCTCTAATCAATAAGCCAGGAAATACTACAAGTACTACACTTGAGACTCTGATAGCGTTGTGTTTGTTAGTTTTATTACATGAATCCATTTGGGACTGTGTTTTGGGGGAAGTGGAGGAAGCAGTGTTCGATATCGACGATAGGGCAAGCATGGGCGTAACGGGTTCGTGATAGCAGTCGACACGCGATAAGGATGCTAAGTTAAACTCACTAGCAACCTGCGCTATTCAGCTAGGTCTGCGAGGTGATGCTAACAAAACGATCGGAGTCTCACTACCTCAACTTCCTCGATGCCGATAGCAATCGTCAAAATGCACATACTTCGAAGTATATACTTTGTCAAGTGCTTCAAAGACTTCTAGTACTTTTCTGTCGGCAACGTCGTCGCTGCTTTCGCAAGTATAATTATACTCTCTTGAGGGGCAAAGCGAAGTTGAAGCGATCACCAGTATACCCGTGTCGCGCATGGCTTTCGAGGCGACTGGCAAGAGCGCTTCGGCACCTATCTTGACAATAGCAGACGCATTTCAAAAAGGAACAGCTCGTAGACAGCGATCGCACTAGCTAGAGCTTCTAGTCTCTAGTCATTCCTGAATTTGCTTTTTTACAAAGCAACCAACTCAGTAGACTACAACGAGTCTCACCAACTTCAAGAGTACAATGAACGCCAAGACCATCGTCACCGCCGCTGCCGCCGCTTTCGTTGCATCAGCCGCCGCCTCCAGCTCCTCCAGCTCCGACACCTGCTCGTCGTCGCAGCAAACGTCCGCATACACAACGCTGGCGAGCCTACTGACTCTGGACTCGTTCCAAGGATGCGTCGATGACTCGGGCTATAGTCTCCTATATTCGACTTCGCTGCCCACGGACGCCGAGTACGCTCTTATGTGCGCGTCGACAAACTGCCAATCTCTCATCGAGTCTATCATTTCGCTGAGTCCGCCAGACTGCACCCTGACTGTGCCCACGAGCGGTCTGGAGGTGAATGTGTATGAGTTGGCCAACGGTTTCTCCAGCGTGTGCTCTTCCCTGTCGAGCGATTCGTCCACCAGCACGACATCGACGACGTCGACTGCCTCTAGCACCACGACGGCTACGGCGACTACAACGATAACGTCAGCTGTAAGCTCGACGACCGCTTCGTCCACCAGTGACATCAGCACCACTGCTGCGTCGAACTCGACGGAGACGGCAACGACGTCTACCACGACCAGCACTACCTCCGCGGTTACGGCTTGCTAAGTTTGCTATCCATGGTTGCTAGGTAATTCCGAGTATTGTTTACCTCCAGCTTTACCGGATCAATCTCTACATTTGAAATACTCAAATTCACTGCAACTTGAAGTGTTTATCGATCTTTTTTTGACTTACGTACAGGAACAATACACCCTCTTCATCTTTTATTGGCGAAAATCCTAACAAACTCTGATAAGCATGGACGGAGGGCGAACGATGACGCCGTTGGCGAGGTTGCTAACCTTCTGCGCCTTCCTGGAGCACCGCCTGTACACGTCGAGTCTGACGTTGCTGCGTCGCATGTTCACCGACTTCTACGCCGGCAACGAGCACACGCTTCAGGACTTCATGCGGCTTGGGGCGACTGTCGTGACTGTGATGCCCATGGAGAGGAAGGGCCCTCGACAGTTGAAGGAAGCCACACGGCTGTTAGATGAACAGAAGCAGGGAAACGTCCACGAAACGTCGACTGAGATGGACCCAAATCAACAGACTCAGATGGACGCTCCAACGTCCTGCGTCTTCCGCTATCTTTCGGCTCGTGTGGCCACTAGGAACATTCTGTGGCTACGCGATATGTTCCACGAGTTCTGTCGGGGAGAGGATGCGTTGCTACGCCAGTTCTTGCGGCGCGGCGACCAAGCGATCAGTGTGATCCCTGTGGATATCCAGGCCTTATCTATGGTTCCATTGCCTCCGCCGCCGTTATCAATCGACCCGACGTTTAGTGTAGCAATGGCGGAGACGGGGGTTCGATCTGAGGCATCGCCGGCACGATCAAGAGAGCAGGAACAGGAGCAACAGTCTGGCAGTGAGCCGCTTTCAGAGACGGAATTGCGTGCGCGTATTATGGAAGCGCTTGAGCGATTGGAAGCGAAGGAGCCGTGGAAGGCAGTTTACAACCCCGAGAAGCTATCGCTGCCGTTTTCGCGAGTCAGATATCCACAACTGGCTGCAGTATTGCATGAGTTCTGGCAGAAAAACGCTCGAGCAGTTTGGGAGCGTAAATTTTGGTCACCGCTGTCTCGCTCACGCAATCTCGAGCTGCACAACCAGCGACGATGCCGCCAAATTAAGGCCGTGACCTTTTTCGAGAAGAAAGTGATCATACCCATTTACAACGAGTTTGGAGCAAGCATTTTCATCGGTATGGATAAGCGCGCTAAACCTTGTAGCGGATGGTATCATTTCGACCAGGCTGTGGACTTGTTCACGCTGGCCCAGCGTAACGGGTTGCCTGCGTGTCTGCAATATGTGGAGTCGGAGGCATTCAAGAGGTTCCCCACAGTCCCTGGCAAAAATCGTAGCAACTACGCTCGAGTGAATGGAAAAAGCCGCAGCATGTGGTCGTCATCAGAAAGTCTAGGACAAATTTTGGGTGAGATCATCGCTTTGAAGGCCAAGTCAGAGGCCTGCAACAAATCTGTCGAACTGTAAGTGCAATGCAAAATTTAACCTCACGTGCCTGACACGTACTCATTTCTTGGCATGATGAAGCTTTGACGTTTGTCAAGTGGACGGAATCCATTTGACGAAAAGACGGAAATAATTCTCTTATGGAATTGGCTCCATGTATTTAATTTGATGACAGTTTCTTGTGCTAAGAGGTAGCGTTAGTGTGTTCTCGCATCCACACCAAACTAGCACTGACCTCCATATTCTCGGTTCTTTTGTGCCTATCGAAGCACACAAACCAGCGGGGCATCCCCACTGTTGCTCGATGTTTATTTGTTAGCTTGGTGCGCGTTTAAAGGCGTTGCAAAGATTACATGCAACATGAGATTTTCGATGTGTGGATACATGTAGCACCGATGTTCCCCAAACGGCCCTGGGATGTATTTGGCCTACCGCTGGAGTTGTGGAGTCGCGCGATAGGAGACATATACTACTTCCGGGATTCGTGTTACTCAACTTTTTTTTTTTTTTTACGAATATCTCGTTCGCGAACAACTCCGAGAGCCGTTATTGTATTGATCACCATTAATGCTATTGAACCGATAGTGTGAGAAGCGTTTTACTCAAATTCAGTACTATTTTTATAATGTCGCCACATGAATTGTTATAATAGCCCGTAACCTAACAAAAAAAATGAGAACATTTTCTGGATAAAACTAATTTTGTTTACAGAACAATTGCGCGTACACTTGCTTTCAAACAAAACACGGCCAAAAGAGTGGCAGAGAAACCTAACGAGCATTTGTTTCTGTTTAATGACCTACAGTAATAATAATAAAAAAACAAGCTTCGACCAACTGGAGCGCATTGATCATTGGTGATATTTCGCATTGTTAGCTATAACAGACTAATCAACACCATACATTTGGTACTTCCTCTGGGCGGAATTAATCACCGGAAGTTTATATGATAGGTCATATGATTACCAATAGGTTTTGATGTGAGAGAGCGACATTGAATTATAAAGTATCTATTTCTTGCCGAACAGCAGAGCACTGCCTCGGTCAGACGCTGCTAGCAGTGCTACTACAGACTCGTACAGTTCTCTGCTACACCTCAAACTGGTAGGAAGACACTTGGCTCTACGAAGTTTCGCCTTCTTTAAATGCGGGAGCTTGTATACGTTGCCTCCCTCCTCACGTAGACTCGCCAGCATGCACGCCTGAAGGGTCAGAAAAATGTCGTTCACGGTGTCACTTTTCAGCTGGCTGAAAGCAGTATTCACGGACGCGATGAGGGCATCAATTCCTTTCCTGGGGATGTAGTACTGGAGGGTCTGCATGGAGTTGAAAACGACCAGATCGAGGGTGTTGAGATCGGGCGAATTGGGTGCTTGGCATAGCATCCGGATGTTCCAGCCTCCCTCTTGGCCAGCTTTGACAACGTCCAGGTCCCAAGGCTCCACGTGAGGCTTCGCATTATCCTGTTGAACAAGAATTAGCATGTGGCGATCCTTTCGTGGCCACTGCGCCTTAATAGCTGGAAATACTTTTGTAACCAAGTACTCCCTGTACACCTCACGATCGACTGTGTCAATGTTTCGGGTGCAAACGGCTCCTTTAGCTCTGTTCTTGCTAGAACGTTGAGCTTCGTACTTCTCTGTAAAGGACCAAACGCCAAGCTTGTCATCCCATTGCTGCTTTCGATGAGGGTCGTACCTATATATCAAATGTCAAAGGTTATAGCTTTTGAAAAAGCAAATATTATTAGCTTACCGAGGCCGCGCCAAGGCAGCCAGGAACATCGTCTTCGGGATGAACCGCTTGCTCTTCCAGAACCTAGGAGGCGGCTCCTCGCCCTCTAGCACCAGGTAAGAACGCTTGTCACGGTCGGAATAAAATCATTTCTCATCAACGTGTACAACATTGTGCATAGACTCAAATTCCAGTGTCCTGTCGTCGATAAACGACAGAGCATGCTCAACGCGTCGGAGCTTGTTTTCTGGAGTCAACGCCGGCTTAATCAAAACCGCACGACGCTTGAGCATTCCCTCCCTTACCGCCTGTCGCACCAAATGCCTGGAGGCGCCAGCAGCAGCGGCAGCACGTCGTTCAACAGCTCTATCCTCCATGGGAACACGGGCAAGTTTTTCACGCAATTCATCGCGATTCTTGCGCTTCCTGCCGCAGTGTTGCTTCCTCCTGCTCTTCCACTCACCCCCTACGACTCCTGCCTCGACCGCAGCAACGTAGCGCTTCCAGATAGTGCTGATAGTGGACGGGTCACGCTCCACACCCGAGGCCACCTTTGCGTTTGCTCCACGAGGCAATTTGCCGTTTTTGCTGATCCGAAGAAGCTCGTCGATGACAGCCTTGCGCTCTACATCATTTAAGTTAGATTTCCCCATGGTTTCGTAAATATAGACACAGTCCAGCAGTTGTGGCGGGCGCAGCCCCAACGAAAATCCCGAAGTGACTGTGTTGAAAATGTTGTAGCTCCTGCTAGCGGGCTCCGTTTGGCCCGAAACGGGTGGCGTTGGAAAGAGGAGACGCTGCACCGTCATTTCCGCCAATCCAGAACGGATAAAACGCGCTAGAAATGAAGTTATGGGTCAAAACGTCTGTTTCCGGTGATTAATTCCGCTTAGAGGAAGTATGATATTTTACATCGGAAGTCTTCCTTGTACCAGCTTTCACTTTGCACTGAGAGAAGATCACTCAGCGCGTTCAGAATGGCATAGGTCATCCAAACCACTTGCTGATGACGGAGCTCTTAACCTTTGTTATCTCCATGAATCTGTAAATGCTTGACCAACTTGTCCCAGTCGGATTCCAATACCTTATCCTTGATCTCTTTAGCCTTGTCCTTGGCCTTTTCCGCAGCTTTGACAGGGTTCAGCTTCTCCGCAACAGCCTTCAGTTTGTCCTTGAAGCCTCCTCCCTCTTCCTCGACCACACCCTCGTAATTTTCGACACGGCGTAGCAGACGATGGTCATCCGTGTGGGTTGAGGCGAAAATATCCGGTGAGCCTCCGTTTTTGATCATGGTCTTGGCATCCGCGACTACAGGGAACGCATTGCTATTTGCGTGGAGAGTGCCCGCTATCAGCACGACGAGTATGTAAGCGAGGCGCATGGTTGTTGGACGCGACGGTGTGAGGTGGAGTCTGGACTTGAGAAGTTGTTCGCGGAAGGGAGCGAATTGTGAACTGACGAGTAGATTGCGGAATGAGATGTGAGTTGTGGTGCTTTAAAGGAGCCAACACAGAACACAGAGCGGGTAAAACGGTCACACGCAGTACTTCAAAATAGAAAGCTAGTTACTGTACTGTATCCTATCCAAAGATTACAGTCTACATGTATTGTGATCGGCTCCCCGAATGTCTAGTCGATTTGTAAATCGTTCGGGATTATGGCTTATTTAGACTTCAAATCCTTATTTAGCTTGTTTGGTCTCCTATTTAGAATTTACATCTCTATTTTAGACTCAGATTTGAGCCTATGCTTAATCTGACTCGAAACCAGTTTGTATTTACATCTCTATTTTTAGACTCAGAATTGAGCCGTATGCTTAATCTGACTCGAAACCAGTTTGTAAGCAGGGATCCGCAAAAATATATTTACTGAAAATATATTTTTAAAATCTCAGATAATAATTTATTTACGGCCTTGGCTACAGTCTGAAAA